GTTTTATAGTGTATAAAAGATTTTATGTACATTCTCTCTCTCTCTTTTTTTTTTTTGTTTTTGAGATAGAGTCTCACTGTGTGGCCCCAGGCTACAGTGCCATGGTGTCATAGCTCATAGACCTCAGCCTACCAAGTAGCTGGGATTACAGGTGCCACCAAAGTGCCTGGCTATTTTTGGATATGGAGGTGTCTCACTCAGGCTCAGGCTGGTCTCAAACTGTGAGTTCAGGCAAGCCACCTGCCTTGACTCCCTAGAGAGCTAGGATTACAGACATGAGCCACTGTGCCCTGCCTATTTCTATTTTTGGCAGAGATGGGGGTCTCCCTCTTACTCAGGTTGATCTCAAGTGATCACTCGCCTTGGCCTCCCAGAGTGTTAGGATTAGAGGCATGAGTCACTGTGCCTGGTTATACATTCTCATGTAATCCTCATGGACAGACTGGGCAGGTTTTATGTGGGTAAGCGTGTATATATGTTTTTTTTTTTTTTTGGCAGTTTTTGGCCAGGGCTGGATTTGAACCCACCACCTCCAGCATATGTGGCCTGTGCCCTACTCCTTTGAGCCACAGGTGCTGCCCCCACGTAAGCGTGTATTTTTATAAACCCCATTTTATAGACCTAGAAAAGAAGACTCACACAGCATGTGGGTCAGGACACAATGCTGTTAAATAGTAGAAGTAGGGCTTGAATGAAGGTCTTCTGACTCTAGATCCAATGTTCTTTTCACCACACCACCAGGTCCTCGTACCCTCAATCAATAAAAGATTTATTGAGCACAGGGGAACCGTGTTGAGTAAGATATTGGGCAGCGATTGATGCGTGTGGTCTTTTACAACAGCCTCTGAGTTTGGAGGGTGGGGAGGATAGAGGTAGACTTTGAACATGCTCTTTGTGAGTATAGTTTTTCAGTTTTCGCATCTCTTACATTTCAGTGTCACATATGAGCCAGATTTCAATTCGGCTGAGCTGTTAGCCAGAGAGCTGTACCGAGTTTTCCGCAAGTGTTGGATGTTATCAGTAATTAATTATCAGCTGGCAGGTTCTCTGAATGCAGCTGGCTCAGTAGTAAGTATCAAAATTAATTGAATTTGAATCAACAGTTCTTAAATTCTCATTTTACCTGCCCTGTTCATTTCAAATATTTGTTTCCTTGTATGGTTGCTGGGTGTTGGGAGCGACTCAAAATGAACGATGAAACTGGCATATTGAGGGCTTATTGTGTACCCGGGACTGTACTTAGCAGTTCTCAATTTGATCCTTACAAGCATCCTATTAGGTAGCTGCTGTTATTATTTGTAAAGTGATGGGCCCAGCCCCTCAGCAGGGCTGGTCAGTGGCAAAGCACTGTGCCAGGCTGCCTAATTGGAAAGCACAGGCTGGTTCCCTTGTGGGACACACTGCCCTCTGAGAGCAGGCAGCCGCCTGGGGGCAGGGAGCTTCATGCCAAAGGCTAAAATAAGCATTGGAAAAAAGCACTCCAAGTACAGGGCAGGGAGTATTTCATTTTATCAGGGGAACAGACAGTGACCTAAAAGAAAGAGCCTGAGGCACAAAATATAATTTAAAGAGTTTATTTGATACAAAGTGAGGACAACTGCCCAGAAGAATCAGACCCCAAGTAACCTAGGATATGAGCTCATTTGGCCTGTGCTGCAAGCAGGTTTTCTCCTTCCCCTCCCCTCTCGACCCTCCCCTTCCCGCCCCTTTCCTTCCTTTCCCTTTCTTTTTCTTTCTTTCCTGTTTTTTTCTTTCTTTCTGGACAGGAGCTTTCTCTGTCACCCAGGCTAGAGTGCTGTGGCATCATCATAGCTCACTGCAAACTCCTGGGTGCAAGTGATCCTCCTGGCTCAGCCTTCCTGATAACTGGGACCATCACACCCAGCTAATTTTTTTTTTTTGTGCAGATAAGGTCGTGCTCTTGTGCAGGCAGGTCTCACACTCTTGATCTCAAGCAATCCCAGTGCCTTAGCCTCCCAAAGTGCTATGATTAACAGATGTGAGCCATCATGCCTACCCAGGGCCTGGTCGCAAAGCAGACTTTTAAAGGCAAAAAGAGGGGACAGGCAGGAGGCCGATACAAAGTTATTTGTCAAGAATTCTTATTGCTTTCTAGAAATAACATTGATTTATGATTGGTAGATATTGTTAACTTATGATGGGTGGGTGACAGTGTCCAGGGCAGTGTGGCAACAGCGGGCTGTTTCAGGAGAAAATATATAGTTCAGAGGAAGGAAGTGGGACATGACTGCTGACTCATTGTAAAGCCTCTCTGGGGCTGCTTATTTAGAAGGACTCAACATTCCTCAGATAAAAGATAATTTCACATTGGAAAGGCTGATGAGAGATCTCAGAACCTGAGCTCGGTATTAGGCTGTCCAGAAAGATGACAGGTAGAAACATGGGGGACAGTGTTCTCGGCAAAGGGGGGCTGCAGCAAGGGAGGTGCGTGGTGTGTGCTGTTGAGCAGAGAGGCTAAATAATACCTGTTGGTGTGTGCGAGGTTGATCTTTATGGAAATAAGACTTGAATGATAGTGGTCCCATTGTGGGAGACATAGAATGCTAATTTGATAAGTCTGGATTTTAAATGGCAGTAGGAAAGTGCGGTGGGTCAGAGAGCAGCCACAGAAGAGCTATAAGCAAGGGAATGATCTTGACAGAACTGCTTCTGGGTAGATTAGGGCTTCTGAGGGGCAGAATCTGTCTGTCTGCTGAGCGACACGGGTGAGGCTTCTGTTATTTATAAATATATTCCAGGTTAGAATGACCTACTTACACTAAATTCAATGTCTGGAAATAAATGTACTAAAATTACTAAGAAAAGTGATCTCAGCTGGTTTGTGTTAGCAGCACACAGGGCTTTAAAGACACGGGGAGTTTTTGCCAAGTCCTTCAGTTCAGTTGAATGCAGCCTTAATTTTTCATGGCAAACTATAATGTTGGAAACACACATTCTTGAGCATTCTTTTCTTTAAATTCTTTTTGAGACAGAGTTACTCTGTCCCCCTGGGCAGAGTGCTGTGGAATCATAGTTCACAGCAACCTCAAACTTCTGGGCTTAAGTGATCCTCTTGCCTCAGCCTCCTGAGTAGCTGGAACTATAGGGTGCCTGCTGCAACGTCTGGCTAATTTTTCTATTTTTAGTAGAGACGGGGTCTCACTCTTGCTCAGGCTGGTCTTGAACTTCTGAGCTCCAGTGATCCACCCCTGCCTCAGCCTCCCAGAGTGCTAGGATTATAGGCGTGAGCCACTGTGCCCAGCCCTATTTAAATGACGGAAATGTGCTTGTTTAAATTGTTCCTAAATCCTCTTATGTATTATCAGGTTGTAGATGAAGAACGTGTCCAAGAAGACTTTGAATCCAGCATGAGCATGGTACAGGAGATTAAATTTAAGTCCAGGATCAGAGGGAGTGAAGAATGGGCTCCCCCAAGATTTCAAATTATATTTAATATTCATCCACCACTAAAGTAAGTATGGGCTGCTGCTCGATCCTCCATCTAAAATAGGACCTCGCTCTCTATGGAAGTGGGTGAAGGAAAAAATAATATGCTGTGGAACCCAGGAAAATTTGTTTTAGGAAAAGGAAAGTTGGGTGTATTTTCTGGCTTGGCTTTGCTGGCACCTTGTTTATCGTGAGCTTTTGAGTTTCAACGAGTTGAGAATTTAACTATACAAATGAATTAAGAATGTTACATAGCAACTGAAAACTCAATAGGCTTAAAGTAGCTAATATGGAAACTTAAAAATCGTATGCAGTAATTTAAAAACACAGAACCACTTTATTTTCCAGTACCATCATTGCAAAATAAAAATTAATGAATACATTTTGAAAAGGGAAAGTTCAATCTTAAGGAGAGCTTCTTCGTTAAAAAATGTAACTGAATATAAATAAAAAATGTTGTCTAAGAAGTAACAAAAGTTCTGAAAGACAAAACAACTCAGATGATACCCCCAAAGGAAATAAACCCATATATAC